CGATAAAGAAAATGTTTTTCTGAAACCTACATCACACCAGACCGCGTCCCATGATTTCTGAATAAATTTCATTAACATTTTTCATTTAAAAAAATACATCGTAGATATTTGCGAATATTTTAATTTGCATACAGCCTTTCCTTGTTAAAATGCAAAAAATTAGCCTTTACAAGTCACGAAAAACTGCATTTGAGTCGTGGATTTTTGAAATACGAACCTTCAAGTTTTTGAAACTTCATTCATACTTCGTTATCTCGATATCTTTAAAAAATCAACTTGCCATGAAAATCCTTTACGATTCGACTCTTTAACTGTAAAACTAAAAACTAGCCTTTGGATGCGTGTCAAACAGTATTTTTGTCATGAATTCTTGAAAAACGGGCCTTTTCAAGTTATCGAAAAACTTTACATACTAGCCTGATCGAAAACGTCTTGAAACAACTAACAACGAGTATATTTTGTCATGAATTCATAAAATACGAGCCTTTTGTATCAAATATCAAAATATGTCAATATTCTCTGTATATATTGAACAACAATTGAACAATGATATAGAATTAATCAAACAAAAATACTAAAAATTATATGATGGTTTAAAAATTAAACCATCTGCATCAATTAAAAGTCTAAATTGAATAAAAGCACTTACAATGTTTATTTATAGCGAAAAGCTCAGATAAAATTAAGGGGAAAAATTCTAAGAAACATTCCTATTGACCTTTAGCTATCAATCTTATCTGTATGGAAAGGTATTGAGAAGTAAAAAAATCTAATCTGTTAAACAAATATAACTTAATTCTAGCACCACCTTGATCTGAAGACGAAATGGATTTATATATTTTTCTGTACAAGATGTGAGTTTGAATACAACTGGACGACACTTTTAATTGAACCTCATGATAAACACAAAAGCCTCAATTAGTCTCATCCTTTTAAAATGTACAATTCATTCTCGAAATATTAATTACACTGTTACAGATGACAGATGTTAAATGTCCTGTCAACTGAGATCTTGTCGATGGGCTTTTTCATTTCACAACCAACCAAAATTATGACAGTATTCTTGAAAATTGTATTAAAAAAAAAAGGTGGACAATAAAAGTTCATATTTTGTAGAATTTCTGTTATCAGTTTACAATTATGGTTGCGGAAGTTATGGACGTTTGTCGGTAAAGATTAAAGCGGTACTGAGGCGAACCGTTTTCGATTTCACTGTTAATGCACGTTCTTCCCCCCCTCGTAAAAATAAAATGAAGGAAAAAACATAACAACGAAGCGGAAGTCGAAAAGGGGTTTTCCTCCCTGTTGCGGTGGCTTTGTGGATTGTGAATCTCAGCCCCGGCTCTTGAGGAAGGTGGGCGCCACATGTTCTTCCTCCCTGGTCGTCTCGCTGCGTACAAAATGGTACTAATTCCAATGCCAGACGGTGGACGTGATTTCCCCTTGCAATCATCTCGGTCTAATCCAAATGCACAACTTTGATAAACGCGAACTAAACACCAGTTCAAAAGAACTCATTCAACTGCAATGAAAAAAAGACGGAAAAACGGCAAATGTGAGAATTGACGCGCGTTTCTACGTCTTACTCTGTCGCTAGTGCAAATCTATCGAAAATATTATTTTTAAATAACATAAAAATTTCCTACAATCATACAAGCACATTCCTTCAAAAGAGACCCAAATTGAAACGAAGTCCAAAAAATACCATCAAAAAAATGACTTGATTTTATTTTACGTTAAGCTGGTTTTCAACATTTAGATTCACATGACAATTCAATTATTTGTTTTTACACTTTACTTTATCATTACATTTATGAAAGAAATTGAAAATAAAACACAAAATAAATAAAACTAGCTTTTATGTATTGAAAAAAGAAGAAAACCATTTCATTCTTGAAATTCGAGCATTCATGTAATCAAAAACCTTATAAATTATTTTTTAAAATATAAAAACTATTAAAACGCGTAGCCAAGGAAAACTTAAGTTATAAAAAAAAACTTCATATTTCAGCCTTACGGTTAAAAAAAAACTTTTCCATGAAAACACTTGCATTATAAACTCTTAAGTGACTGCAAAATCCGTGAAAAAAATAACCTGCTTTTGTAAATCATGTAACAAAACATTTAAATCTTAACTTTTTGACGTTCGAGCCTTAGATGTCAAAAAATGTGAGCCTTTCCTTCATTAAAAAGATGGGAACCTCCTTTGGCGTCGGGAAAAACATATTTTTGCCATGAATAATAGAAATACGAGCCATCAAGTTGTCGAATAACCAACCTTTGAAGATAATGAAAAACCGCATTTTAGTCACGAAGTTTTGAAATATGAACCTTCAACTTAGCTAAAAACTTTAAATGTGCGTCTTTCCTTTTTGGAAAAAAAATAAATAAAAACCGAAATATTTTCCGTTATGAAAAACTATAACCAGAAGTAGAGGAAAAGGTTGCGTGTCTGCATTTCAAAATGTTAATGATTTTAATTACATCATCTTATGATAACATATTTTAAAATAAATCTTATACATTTTTGAAGATTTTAACATAAATTTAATGCATAGTTTTTTTGTACTATGGGGACGGTTCCAGTACTAGTATTTAAGCTATCAAAAAATTCAAAATACCAGCCTTTCTTTTAAAAAGCAAAAAACCAGTCATTGGAATTCATGTAAAGAGCATTTATGTCCTCGATTAATTATCTACGAGACCTCAAACTATGGGAAAACTCAAAATATCAGCCTTTTTTTCGTTGAAATGCAGAAAACCAGCATGAAAAACAGCATTTACATCAAGAATTCATGAAATACGAGCTTTCCATTTATTTAAATATCAGCCTTTCTTTCATTAAAAAGTAGAAAAACCGCCTTTGGAAGTCATGTAAAAGTGCATTTATGTCATGAATTAATGAACTACCAGAATTCAAGTTACGGGAAAACTCAAACAGCAAAAACTCAAAGCATTTGAAAGTTATAAAAAACAGCATTTACATCAAGAATTCAAGAAATAAGAACTTTCCAACTGTTTTAAATATTAAGCCTTTCTTTCATTAAAAGTAGAAAAACAGCCTTTGGACGTATTGAAACCGCATTTTAATTATCAAAATTTATTCTAAATAAAATTAAAACTTATTTAATGCATTAAAACTCTGAAAAGTTTTTTGAAATAGAGTAAACTTTAAATGTGCACTTTTCCTTTTCGAAAAAAGTGATACCCAGCTTCACTATTTCCTGAAAACTAGGAGGTCACCAAGAAAAAGGCAGGATCGCAGGCATTTCAAAAACTGGAAATTACAATTCGATAATGGTTTTAATTAACATTTTATCTCAAAGAAACAAATCTTTGAAATTTGTGCAGATCTTATTACGAATTAAATGAGTAACCTGCAGCTTACGCGAGAAAAAACTAAGATGAAAAAAGTTTAATAAGTTTAAAACAAGTTTAATCGACAATAGTTAAAGCACACAACAATCATTTAAGCTTGCACTAAAAGCATTTAAATACCAGCCTAATCAAAAACATCGTAAAAAAACTAATAACCAGCATGTTTGTAATGAATTCATGAAATACGAGCTTTGAACTAGTCTTAAACTTAAAATTCAAGTATTTCGTTCATTAAAAACTAATATCTTACTGCTAAAAACAAACTTTAAAAACTACTTTGCCATAGAAACACTTTCTATAGCGAGCTTTCAAATAACCAGAACGATTAAAATTTCAGCCTTTTCTTCGGAAAAAAACTAAATAAACCAAGCGAAAGTCATCAAAGGTATCGAAATACCAGCCATTTTTTAAATACAAATAAGATCCAGCATAACACTCAAGAAAACTCTGAAAAACAAGCCTGAAAATTGGCAAAAAGTCGAAGTAACAGTCTTCCCTTCATGAACACTCTAAAAACTAAATATGAATTTACAAAAATCGGCTTTTTTTATCGTGAATTCTTCATACTATGAATCTAAAGTACACAAAAAAAACTTAAAATACTAGCCTTCAAGTACGAAAGTTCTTAAGACAAGCTAGCTCAAAATAATAACAATACTTAAATTTTACCCATTTGTAAAGATTGGATTTCCTTGTCATTTTAACTGATTGATTTTTAAATAAACCAATTTAACCGAAATAGTATTGAAAAAATAAAAATAAAATGATTACTTGAAAAATTGTTGTATGGCCTATGTACGTATTTCTCATCAATTGATGATAGATATATAAAAACTCATCAAGAAAAACCTCAAATGTGCTTTACGTTAATGAAGTTTCATATGAGAAATACGCACCAATCGCTGAAATATTTCATGAAATACCATTTATTAATTTTACATTATATTTTTTTTTTTAATTTATATTTTCTTGCCTAGGTTTTTTTTTTATAATAGAAACTTCGATCTTGTTGTTGTAATAAATATATCATCCTGGCTCTTATGACCGGCATTGGTTAAGTCCTTATGGAATATGCATGATTCAATTAATATAATTTTTGGATCAACAGTATTTTTGAAAATTTTCATTACAAAGTAGAAGTACATAATATTCACTTGCAATTTTGTTCAGAATATTGGAAAAATAAATTCTTTTTTTATTTGTCTTTCTCTTTTTTTAAATAACAACAGCAAATAAAAACAAAAAAGACTATCTGACTGCATTCCACAAAATCAAATACCTCAAAAAAAGAAATAATTATTTGTTGTAGTATATTAACATGTTGTAATTAAAATGTTAAATTAATTATGATTACGGTTTACGTAGATAATCGTTATGGGTATTAGGATTAACAATATCCTGTTAACTGGTTTGTGGCAAATCTACATAACTAACAGGACTTGAGTCCTTATTTAATAAAAAAAAAATTTTTAAATGTAACATTCAACATGCATTGAAAAAATTCTATATATATTACGCTCATCTTAAAATTGTTTATACATGTAAACAAATTTTTGCTATGCTTAAATGTACCAAAAAAAATTATATACACTATTATTGAAATTTTTAAAAAATGAACTTACCGGAGGAATTTAAAGGTAAAATCCGCTTGAATGTTTGATCCCGAATCTTGCACACTATAAAAAATTAGTTATCCATTGCGAGAACACAAAGACTGAGAGAAGACTTGATCGCGTACACAGAGTACGAATGCCGGCTTCCAACTGAACACGAAGCACGTCGGGGAACGAGAGCGGGACGTCGACTCCCCACTTTCTTCTCTTTTTACTATCAACCCTACGCCGAGTAAGGACATCGCTTCGCTGGTGCGGAGTACAGATTACAGAACCCAACAAGCGACTTGTGAAAGAGTGGAGATTGGACGAAAGTAAATCCTCAGTTAATTGTGTCAGGGTGTATTTACTTCTCCTTTTGTTTTCAAATCCTCTCGCGAACTGTAAAACGAAAATATAGTGAAAATCTTAAAAAATTTTGTCAGTTCTTAAATTATTTGAATTAATTATACTTTTTATGTAAGGTCTTGATTGAGATTCCACGACCTTCGGCTCAATACTCCGCTGCTCTAAACATTTGAGCTATCGGGACTTCACCACTAAACATAAATCGATTAATATTTACAATTATTATTATAAATTAGTTTATTTTTGTCATGTTTTTACTGTTCGGCTAGAATAAAGTGGTAGTGTTATTGATAACAACTCAATCATAAGAGTGTAATAAGACGGTAGATCAAGTGGTAAGAGCGGGTTCGAATCCCGCTCGTGCTATTAACTTTTTCATCTCGACAAAGACCTTAGATAAAAATACATTATTTGAAATAGTTAATACGGTCAATTATGACTGCTAAGCATATATGGATTAACATAAGAGCCATGATGATTCTTTCCCAGACGAAATTATTTTCGTGTACAGTACACCCTATTTTGAGGTCATTTATTTTGCATGCTAGATTATTATCCAATGATATTATTACAAAACATTTTTACATTATATTGAAAAAATGCAATATTTCAATCAAATACGAACTCAAATTAACATTCCCACTCCGAAACAATAAAACATAGGCAAAGAGCAATACTCTCTCAGTAATTCGAACTATTTATTGCAGAGGAGTATTACTGACAAATTTGGATTCTTGCATACAAAACGTTAGACATGTAGGGACTCACCCATAGTTGATATATTAAAAACGTCAAGTAAATCATATTACGAAAAGGTAATTTTTGTTCAGAAAAATAGTTGGTAGGGCTATAAGGTTGAAGGGACAAGTAACGCGTAAAAATGATGCCCTTAGTCTGAAATTTGATGCCCCCAATTAGTCAAAGGTTGTTTGTGAAGTGTTACAACTATTGAAAAATGGAAAAAACAAAGATAGAAAATTCGAAAGGTTGTACGTTGAGATGGGGAGTTGGTGTCCGAGTGGATCGATATCACGATAGATAAAGTGGTTAGAGCAGCTGCGTATTGAGCCGAAGGTCGTGGGTTCGATTCCCGCTCGTAACACTAACTTTTTCATTTCAACCAATACCTTAGATAAAGATTAGTTAAAACTATAAAGAAAACAGACCGCGTACGCTGCACTCTATATTATTCGTATTAACAGAAACATTACCAAAAATATATTAGAATCAAAAAATATATAAATATATTAGAAAATAAAATAGAAAATAAAATAATAAAATAAATATTTTAGAAAAATATATTAGAATCAACTGTCAATTTTTCTTTAAAAATCGGTTGTTGTTTGAAGATGAAGGATTCACTGAACAAAAGAAATTCTCGAAAATTAGTATGGTCTAAGCTGGTCTTGGTCTTTCGTACGACTCTCCCTCTCAGACACTCTTTTACTCACTCACTATCACTCTCTCGCTCTCCCTCACTTACTAAACATGGTGTTCCAGGGTTAAATGTCAATACTGCCACGATGGATTCATTAAATATAGTTTAATGTGTCACCAGAACGAGGTTTCTGTCTTGGCTCTTTCCTGGGATATTAACTTTTTTTTTAGTCAAAAATCAGATTTTTTTTACATAAAATCGTAATTCGTCAACTTCAGCCTCATTAAGATACAAATCTCACCTTTATTCTGTAAACTACATCAAATTTTCCACAAGCTTACATTTCCGTTCAAAAATTCCCGCTTCCGAATACACATTAGCTGCTCAAAGAATAACAAATGTCAAAGGCCATGTTTTATTGGAAATTGATACTCGTGTAATGACTTTTCCATAAATCTATTCGGGGATTTCACCAAAGTTGCCTTATTTTATAATCATTCCAAGGACATACTCACTTTTACATTTTTTAGAACTCTTCTTAGTGAACTATCCATTCCAAGGTTGAAAAACGAGATGTCGAACCCAAAGAAAGCAGCAACACAAGACCATTGTACATGTATTTTTAATGAAAACATTTATAAGTTGGTAACAAAAATTAGATATATTTTTACACAAATTTTGATGGAAAGGTCATTGCATCTCTACTTGAAAAGTCATTGTAAGCTCTTAGATATCAAGTCTTTGGTCGTTTCTTATTAAATTGGTCGGTCTATATTTATTCTCTTTCCAGACGCACCATTGATGCTAGTAAGAAGCTAAAAAGCCTGTCAAATCAAAACATCGAAGATATGCAGAACAAAATGATAGGAATCGACCAAAATATGAAGACCGCGTATTTGGCCTGTCATAATTTGACTTTGCGTGTTAAAGCCATGTTTTTTGTGAGAAATCGTTAGTGGTCGAGAAAAAAATTTTGGTGCACTCTGTTGTTTTAGGATTCTTCTAGATGCAGTTTTATCGGAAACTTTGTAAACACTGGGGAAATTCAGTATCAATTAGCTTATCGGCCAAGATGTGTCCATGAGTTCCTACATGGGCCTGAACCCATTTGAGTAAGATTTTAAACCAGTGGTCCTGCTTAGCTCAAGCATATATAAGCTTTATAGAATTGTCTATTACAAAATAATGATAAAGAGATAATTTACGACAATATTTTATCTTATAAGTACGTAACAATTGCAATGTAATTAATATATTATCACAATTTTTTGTTTGCTTTGTTCAACACTGATTATTTTGTCCTTTAATAATCTAGAACTCGAGATGTTATGTAAAACTATCTAGTTTGAAAACGTATTTACAGTAGACAATAAATTAGAAAAACGTCAGGATCGGTAACGACCAAATTTCAGGTCTATCACCCCGCAACACGGATAAATCATACAATTTTTTTGGATTGTGGGAGCATATAAAACGTACGCTGAAACCAGATAATTATTGCAATTATTTATTTACTGTCATTACTGAATTTTCACGGTTCCGTTAAGTGTCAAAAGCGGCCAGAACAACAAAAATAAAAAATTATCTGCTTCAATGCCCTATTAAAAGTTATGGCGTTGACTTTTATTTACTACCAGGGTGATTTAGTGTTTTCCGATCGATTCAGATATGTGATATTTTAAATTTTTCTCGGAATGATTTATTTTATGAGTTTAAAAATACTATTAACTTATTTCCAGTAGAAGTTTATAAAAAACGTTATAAATCAGTTCGTTATGATTAGGTTGATATTTATAATCGCTTTTATGGGAGCCTAATAAAATATTATGTTCACACTCGGCGCGTATTTATATGTACACGCTTGTGTATGTGTATGCTCTCTCTCTCTCTCTCTCTCTCTCTCTCTCTCTCTCTCACTCATTCTCCTTCTCGCTCTTTCATTTTCTCACTCTCTCTCTCTATCTATCTATCTACCTACCTCTCTCATTCTCGTTTATCCTTCTCTTTTTCCCTCGCTCTCTATCTAACAATCCATCTCCCCTCCTTTCTCTCTCCACCACTCACTCACGTTCTATATTCTCTCTCTCCCTCACTCATTCATTCTCTCTCTCTCTCTCTCTCCCTCCCTCTCTCTCTCTCTCTCTCTCTCAATTTCTTTGTCTCTTATATGTATATAACTATCCTTTTCTCATTCTCCCTCACATGAAACCTTAAATTGAAAAAAATTCGTAGACATCATTTCACTAGTTTGGGAACTCGGTCCGGATATACCCCTGATACCCTGAAAAAGCTGACCTCCATCATCATCGTTATCGTTCTGGAAAGAATTTTTCTAATCTCCACTCGGTTGAAAATGTACAATCTGTGGAACATTACTCTCTAAGAAAACTTAAGCTTTTGGCTTGTATTATGTTAAGTTAGTTCTTTGTTATTTTTAGTAGAATTTTTATATATAAATTATATTATTCAGAAAACCTATTACAACCCTTTTGCGGATTAGATTTCCCTCTTTTTGAAACCGTTGTTCGGTTCCTTTACAAGCGGTCAAATCCCGCTTAGCCATAAACAACGGCATTATATTGCCTCGGATTGCCTGCGTCTTGAAAACAAAAAAGGTTGACGACATTTATGAAAACTTCATAAATCCAGTTGAACCAGTTGTTCCCTGCCGCAAGTACAAATAGGTACTAGGTAGTAGGTAGTATTTACTTACCTTATATTACTACCTTTCGATACCTGCACTCCGTGGCCGATATAACCTCCCCACTCAATTTCCAGACTAACAATCGGTCTTTCAAGTACAGATCAAGTTCAAATTTTAGCATACAGTTATTCAGATATCGTGAGATGCGGTCGGGTGTGATGTAGGTTTCAGAAAAAACATTTTCTTTATCATGCCAACGTTTCGATCTTCTATTGAGATCATCTTCAGGGCTCAAAGTGTTTGTCTTCTATGTAATTGTGCCATCCTTGCGCGTCGTGTTGAGAGTGCCAAAAATCGAAACGTTGGCACGATAAAGAAAAATTTTTTTTAAACCCACGTCACACCAGACCGCGTCTCACAACTTCCAAATAATCATCAAGTAACGGTCACTAAACACTACACGTTTCTACACGAGAAGAACGAAGAACATAGGGCACTCTCAACACGACACGCAAGGATGGCACAATTACACAGAAGACAAACACTTTGAGCCCTGAAGATGATCTCAATAAAGATCGAAACGTTGGCACGGTAAAGAAAATGTTTTTCTGAAACCTACATCACACCCGACCGCATCTCACGATATCTGAATAACTATCGATTAACGGTCACTAATCTCTACACATTTTAGCAAACATTTAATCAAAGGTTTTGGTTGAGAAGAAAAAGTTGGTGTCAGAGTGGAGCCTAAGGTCGTGAGTTCGAATCCCGCTCGAGACACTAGCTTTTCATCTCAACCAAAACC